TGAATTACCGGGGGGCGATCAATCAAGGGGGGGGGAGAAATGGGGCCGTTTTCGGGGCCTAGAGGCCCCCTTCAGGGGCCCTACAGGGCCCCCGTCGGTGCCAAGCGCCTTTTCTGCAGCCCTCGCTGCCCCCCCGTGTTGTCGCCCCCCATCACGCGACGCTCAAAAGACCACTCCCGGGCTCCATGCCGGACAATTTTCTGAGTTTCGAGCTGCGCCCATCCGTGGCGACACCCTTGGCTCCCTGTCCTCCTATACAAGGTTCCACGTCCTCCTCCTCCAACTGCTTCTGCTCCTCCTCCTTACTCCTCCTCACTCCTCCTCCTCCTCCTCCTCCTCCTCCTCCTCCTCCTCCTACCTCCTCCTCCTCCTCCCTCCTCCTCCTCCTACCTCCTCCCCTCCTACCTCACTCCTCCCTCACTTCCACCTCACTCCCTCCACCTGCCTTCTCCGAGCTCCCTCCTCCTCCCTCCCTCTCCTCCTTCCCTCCTTCTCCTCCTGCCACACCTCCTCCTCCTCACTCCTCTCCTCCTCCTCCTCAAGCCTCGTCTCCTACGTCCATCCTCGTACCTCCTCGTCCTCCTCCTCCCTCCTCCTCCTCCTCTCCTCCTCCTCCTCCCTCCTCTTCATCCTCCTCCTCCTACATCTTTCTCCTCCTCCTCCCACCTCCTCCTCCTCTTCCTCCTCCACCTCCTCCCCTCCTCCTCGTACACTCCTCCTCACTCCTCCTCCTCCTCCTCCTGGTCCGCCTCATCTTCCGCCCCCGTCATCCCTTGTCCTCGTCATCCTACCTCCTGAATGCCTTCCTCCTACCTCCTCCTCGCCCCCCCCCCTCGTCCCCGGCATCCCTTGTCCTCGTCATCCTACCTCCTGATTGCCTTCCTCCTCCCTCATCCTCGCCCCCCACCCGCTTTCCTGCTGCTGCTGCTGCTGCTGCTGCTGCTGCTGCTGCTGCTGCTCCTCCAAGTCCTCCTCCTCCTCCTCCTCCTCCTCCTCCTCCTCCTATTCCTCCTCCTCCTCCTCTTCCTCCTCTTCCTCCTCCTCCTCCTCCTCCTCCTCCTCGCCGGCCGGTTTTCCCGAAGTTTTGGCGGAGGCCCACTTCGGGCAGTCCGACAAGCAAAACCTGTCCAGGACCGCACGCTGGCCGCGGGGCCAGGGGTCGCGAGCTGCGGGGGGGTCCACGCCGATCACGATGTCGGCTGCCTGGGGCCGGAGGGTTCCACGAGGGCCTCGGGCAAAGGGGATTGGCCAAGCCCCCCGCTGCCTCCGCTCGCCCCCCGAGTCTCCCATGGGTGGAAGCGCGGTTGCAGGCGGGTGGGGGTGGCAGGCCCACAGCCCGCCACCTCGACCACGTGGCGACTGGCCATGCGAAGGTGGTGGTTCGCGCGTGTCTGAGCTCACGTGGGGTAGGTGTGTGTTGTCGATGTCAGGGCCTGGCGTAGCCTCAACGTGGCCTCCCGAATCGGACTAAATGGGAGCTGGACGCATTCCGAAGCCTCGTCTTGGGTCCTTTGGAGGGCCGTCTTGGGCTCGTTGGGGCCCTCCTGGTGCCCGCTACAGATGACCCAGCCGACCTCCGCGCGATTTGGGCTGATTTAGGGGGGCATCTGGGCCATCTGAAACGGAGGCCTCGGTGCCGTCTTGGGGCATTTCAGTGTCGGCATGGGGCTATCTTTGGGACGGCTGTGGGCCTTTTTGGGTCGTTATATAACCGTATTGGGGCCTTGTTGGAGCTCTTGGGCCATCTTGGGGCCATCTTAGAGGCATCTTGGACTGACTCGGAGGCTACTTTGGGCCGTAGTGGCCGTCTTTAGACCAAGATTGGTCTTCTCAAAGGCCATCGAGAACCATGTTCGGCATCTTGGGGCCGCCTTCGACAATCTCGGAAGGTCGCGTTGGACCGTTTCTTTCCCCTGGCAAAGTGGCCTCGTGCCGCGGGGCCTTCTATCAGATACGGTGGGGGCATCGGATAAGGAACCCTTAACATAAGGCATCGAGGGCCTGGTGGAACTCCAACCGAGGCTTGGCCATGGATATCACCGCCGCCCTCATCAGGTAAGGAATCCTCCAGGGTCAGAAGCCTCCTGGGCGCATTCCTCAACCAACGCCCCCACCGCAGGGGAGGTCCCCATCCAGGTTGGACTCTTCCATACAGCCAACCCGTATGACGCACGATAAGGATGCACAGGCCTCGGCAGGACATGTCGACACTTTGCGAGAGGGGCGCGGCCAGCGGAAGCGGCCAAGGATGGGCCGACGGAGAGGCATGCACGGGTAAATCTGGCAAATCGCTCATCATTACTGTGCGGGTTGGCTGTAAGGGAGGTATCCATCCAGTTTGGTCCCTTCCAACGGCCCAGGCTCCCGACGTCATGATGTTTGTATATATATATATATATATATATATATAAAAAAAAAAAAAAAACGTCGACCCCAAACGTTCTCGACCCGTTCCCCAGGACCAGCTTCTCATCCTGAATTTTTCTTTGCGGTCCCAAAGCCTGATAACAGCCCCCGGAGGACGAAATCGTTTCAGAGAACTGGGCCGATTACATGGAGGCTTCCTAAAACTTGTTTCGTCGCAGCGCGGCAGGGTCAATCCGCTCGCGTGCTCGACTACCTGGGGCATGGCGTACTGAATGTCCAGCAGCAAAAAAAAAGGACAAGGCAGAGGGCAGCCGCATAGCAGGAGGAAGGGTTGAGGGCGCTCGCAGCACGAAGGTCTTCGGCATAGGCGGCCGGTGCGGCTGGCCGCTGCTGAGGCGTCCTGACAGTGGACGTGGAGCGGCGTCGAGGTTTTCTAACACAGACCTGGACCAATCTCTGTTGCTCACACTGGAGGGACGAACGTGCTCAAGCAACCGAGCCAGCTCTTCAGCAAGCTTGTCGAGGAACGCAAGCCCAGGAACGCAAGCTTAATCCTATGCGCGGCCGTATGCAAACGCGGCTCCTTTTCCGTCGGCTCCATGGAGAACATGGAAACAACATCTCTGTGCACAACTCGGCGGCGAGCGAGGGGGGGGAGGTGAGAAGGTGAAGGCCTTCTCAGAAGGCAACGGGGCTTCTCAGAAGACCTCGCGCCTTCTGACAAGTTTTCTGCGTCTTCCTTGACGGTTCAAAACAACTTGTCAGAATGCTGGAAGGCTGGTGGTGGTTCTTCGGGCCACAGCTCCACTTCCTGGCGGCCGCCCGGGACGACCCGGGCACCCCCGGGCGCCTCCCGGCGAGGCGCAGCTGCCGGAGCGCGGCCCCCAGCTGGACAACACCGCCGAGGAAAGCAAACCGAGACCGCCCGATCGCTCCTCTTTACCAGCCTCGAACATATCCCTACCCCTAGGATTGACACGCCAAAAGGCGATGACCATCTTAGGGATTCGCCCCCAAAAAATAAGGGAATCCTTGAGATTGGCATGGTGACGAGGAGATGCCCAGCATAGGGATCGGGATATGTTCCAGGCTGGTAACCTATGCTCGCTCCCCCCCCCGCTCGCCGCCGAAGAAGAGGGGAGAACGGCAGCTCTGTGCAGCCCAGCCACCGGCGCGCGCGCGCGCTGGCGCGGCACGCGTGCCGCACCTGCCGCACCTGCCACCAGGAGCGCCGGAGGAGGGGCCCGCCGAGAGGCGGCGGCGGGTGCCGCTCTGCCCTGCCCAGCTCGGGCCGAGGTCGCTGGGCGCGAACTCTCATGGCATTTCAGCTACCGACCAGCCACAACTGGGGGAGCTGTGGTCCATACCCCCCTGGGGGAACCCCTCGCGTCGACGATCTCTCGAGAGGGGTATCGAAATCGATGGGTCCCCCAGGGGTGTATAAGGACCACAGCTCCCCCAGTTGTGGCTGGCCTGAGTTAGGCGGCAACCACTGGGAGGTCTTCGTCGGAAAGGTTGAGGAGGATAATGTAAGCCCCACGTGGGAGCTGCTACGCCGGAGTGGGCCTCGAACTGAGCCGGATTAAGCCGGACTAGGCGGGATTAGGCGGGATTGAGCCGAATTAAGCGGGATTAAGTTGGATTGAGCGAGATTTCGGACCAGGGCAAAAACAGAATTTGACCTCCCAGGAGTTGCATCCGAATTTCATGGGCGCGATAGTTTGCTTTGGAGGGGAAATTATGTTTCATCCTCGGGGGGCCTTGTCTGCTCCCTCTCGGCCCTATCCGCGTCGAACCCGTGTCGAATCCACGTCGGACTCGTCGGATCCGCGTCGAATCCGCGTCGAATCCACGCCAAGTGCGCGTCGAGTCCGCGTCCAGCCCGCGTCGGGCGCACGGAAATACACCCATTTTGTGGACAGGCGAGGCCACGTGAGGAAATGTGCCCTCTTCGGGCCCTGAAGGCCCCCTTGCCCCAAAGGGGCCCTCTTCTGCAGCCCTCGCTGCCTCCCCCCCTTTTCTCGCCCCCCCCCTCATGTATCGCGGCCCTCGCTACCTCCCCCCTCCCTCCTCCCTCCTCCCTCCTCCCTCTCCCTCCTCCCTCCCCCTCCTCCCCCTCCTCCTCCCCCTCCCCCTCCCCCTCCCCCTCCCCCTCCTCCTCCTCCTCCTCCTCCTCCTTTTGTCGCCCCCCCTCTCATGCATCGCGGCCCAAGATCGGTCCTCGGACCCCTCCCCGGGTCCATCCTCAACCAACCTCGATCGACGGGCACATCTGCGACGACAATGTCAGGGATGCGCCCTCGGAAACTCGGGGGATCCTTGAGATCGGCATCGAAATCAGGTAATGCCAATCATAGATGGAGGAGGCGGAAAAGAAGAGGAAGAAAAGGAGAAGGAGGAGGAAGAGGAGGAGGAGGAGGAGGAAAAAGAGGAGGGGGATGGGGAAAGGAAGGAGGGGGAGGAGGAGGAGGAGGAGGAGGAGGAGGATGAGGAGAGGAGGAGGAGGAGGAGGGCCGTAGCCATTTTGGCTCAAGCCCCACGTCCCCCCTCGGGGATCTCGTGGGGTTTGGGCATCCGTACCCATTTGCTCGAAGTGCTCGCGCGCCCTCGGCCGCGCGCACCGCGCACGCGGGATGGGGCTCGGTGTGCGCGAGGCCGCCGTCCTCGTCGAGGCGGCGGTCCGTGCGGCCGTGGCGGCCGCTGCGCTGGGCGCGGTGCCTGGCGATGCTGGTGGCGCTGGTTCGCGATTGTGGACGTGGTGACAGACCTCCTGGCGGTGGCGAGGTGCCCGCGCCCGCGGCTCGTGCCGAGCGGCGCGGGCGCCGCCGCCGTCGCCGTCGCCGCGCGGCGCGCGGCTGGCGGCGTGCCTGCGGCCCCTGCTGCTGCGGCCCCGGCCGAGCCCCTCATGGAGGTCGACGGCGATGACGTGCTGGACGACGCCTGGGCTGACGTTCTCCCTCGTCGGGTTTCGCGTCGGCTCGGCGGCCCAGCGGCGATCGCGGCCGCGGAGCCAGCTTGTGCGGCCGCTGCGGCGGCGCCGACGGCTGGCGGAGCGACCCCCTCGGCGGATGTTGCTGCTGCTGGTGGTGCGGCGGCGGCGGGTGGTGACGCGGCGCCCGAGGGGTCGGCCTTGGCGCTGCTGGTGGCACCACCCGCGGCTGCCGCTGCCGCCGACAGCGTGGAGCCCGTGCTGGGCGAGTCGGCGGAGCGGGCCGCGCTCATCTCGGCGTGGGTCCGCACGCCTGGGGCGCGCGTGGCTGACTTTCAGCCGCACTACGCCGCCTGGCCGCTCCACCGACTCCGAGCCTGGCTCGTGGAGGCGGTGGACGCGGCCCCCGGCACCGGCGCGGGGCGGGGGAGGCAGCGGAAGGGTCGGCGATGATGCGCCCTCCCGTGGAGGGAGGGCGCCGCCTGCCCCTTCCCCCCCGCTTCGCACATCGCGGACCTCGTCGGCGAGGGGGTCGACTGGTTCGTTTGAGGCCCGTTGGACGGGCCTGGCGGCGTGACAGACTCATGTTGCGCTATGGCTTAGTCGAGGAGGAGGAGGAGGAGGATGAGGAGGAGGAGGAGGAGGAGGGGAGGAGGAGGAGGAGGAGGAGGAGGAGGAAGGAGGAGGCGGAGGAGGAGGACGGAGGAGGCGGAGGAGGGCGGGAGGAGGCGGGAAGAGGCGGAGGAGGCGGATGGAGGCGGAGGAGGCGGAGGAGGCGGAAGAGGCGGTAGGAGGCGAGGGGAGGGGAGGGGCTGAGGAGGCGGAGGAGGCGGAGGAGGCGGAGGGGCGGAGCGTGAGGGTGGAGGAGGAGGAGGAGGAGGAGAGGAGGAGGCGCGGCAGAGGAGGAGGACGAGGAGGAGGAGGAGGGACGAGGAGGAGGAGGTGGAGGTGGAGGAGGTGGAGGATGGACGAGGGAGGAGGAGGAGGAGGAGGAGGATGATGATGATGAGGAGGAGGAGGAGGGGGAGGAGGAGGAGGAGGAGGAGGAGGAGGAGGAAGAGGAGGAGGAGGAGGAGGAAGAAGGATTGCACGGAGTGGGGAAAGGGCCGGCCGGGCCGTTGGCCTGTCAGGCCGCCGCCCTGGGCCGCGCGGCCGCGCGGCACGCCGCCCGGCTGGGCCTGAAACCGCTGTCCCGGGCTCCCCAGGGGGGGGGGAATGCGTAGATGCAGGAGGATGGGGTTCACGGAAGGGGGGTACTCCAGATTTGGTAGTACAAGGGACGAGGTCACACCGCTCCCAGACGAGCAGTTCTGGACCCCCCCCAGACCAGCCATAGAGGGCGGCCTTTTTCCCAGACCCCACTGGAACCCTCCAAGACAACTTAAATCAGATCCCCTGTGACCCCCCCCTTGATTACGTTATCTTGAGTGCGTAAGCGCTAGCTGGAATCAGCCGATCCCCTCCGGCTGACCTGGGTTTTGGAGCCACGTGGGGCCGATTTCCTCCGTTCTGGCATGCGATGACCCAAGTTTGGGATTTGGGAGGTAGTCAGCGCTTGGCTGGGCTTCGCGACAGTGTGCCGGCCGACCCGGGTTTGGGCTGACCTGGGTTAGTGCGTCCCCAGGGGGAGAGGGGGAAGAGGAGGAGGGGGACCAGTGTAAACCAAAGAGGCGTCAACGACGTTGGAATAAACCATCCCTCCAAGCTCCCTCTTCATAGGCCCCTTACAAGTGTTCATTTTACTGAGGGAACTGCCTCGTTGGAAGACAACTATTTGAAGACCTTGAAGCATGCCAAAACATTGTTCTCGGGATTCTAAAACCACGGATCAACCTGACTGTTGCGTCTTGACGATCCTGAATCGTGCCAGAACGCCATTCCTGGGACTTGAACACAGCGGGTCATTAGAACTTGTTCACTTTCATCAGCTTGAATTCTTCCACACGCCATTTCTGGTACGTGGATCACGGGAAACCGTGAAACCCTTGCAAATGTGTAAGACGCGTGTTCGCGGCGCTAAGGCGAGAACCACATTATGAAAAGGAGCCGCCCTCAATCCGTGAAGCTTTCGTAAATTTGTAACACGAATGCGCGCGGCGCTAAGACGAGAGCCACATTTTGAAAACGACTCACCCTCAATCCGTAAAACTCTGGTAGAGGCTGAAAAATGTGCGCGGCGCTAAGGCGAGAACCATATGTTGAAAACCACTCGCCCTCAAACCGCGAAGCCTTTGCACATTGTTAAGACGAATGCGCGCAGCGCTAAGGCGATAATTACATTTCGAAGAGGAACCGTCCTCAATCCGTGAAGCTCTTGTAAATTCTTAAGGCGCAGCGCTGAGGCGAGAGCCACATTTTGAAAACGACTCACCCTCAATCCGTGAAACTCTTGTAAAGGTTTAAAACGAATCTGCGCGGCGCTAAGGCGAGAGCTACATTTTGAAAACGACCCGCCCTCCATCTGTGAAGCTGTTGCCATTTTTTTTTAGCTTCAGAGTCACAAGTGGTGAGGAAGTCTCAGTCTAAACGCTGGCCCGCCTTAAAAATCGGCCTCGGGGTGCGACAGGGAGAAATTATTTAGAAGGAGAAGGAATATAGGTGGAGGAGGACTCTGCCGATCCCTGCAGGCTTTATGCTCTATGACCGCGAGGGTTCCCCACTTTTTTCCGCACCTTACTCGCATTACCTCTCACCCCTCCTGCCCACCCGCCCCGCCGGCCCTGGCCTCCCGCCTGCGCGTTCGTCGTCGTCCACCCGGGTTTCCCTTCCTCTCCCCCTTTCAGCAGAGACGTGCGCGGGTCAGAGACGTGGGCGCTCTCGGAGCCCTTCCGGCAGCATTTACGACGGACACAACGATCCATGCTTGGCATGATCACCAGAACGCCGCGGCGGCGCACAACACAACAAGTAGACCTCAGCCAGAGACCCACTTGCTTGCGACGGCATAAGTAACAAGTCACCAGACACCGACCGCAGCAACAACAGCACTAGCGACGATGCAGACAGCAACCCACGTCATCGCGAAACGCTGGTCACGCACGACATGCGCAGCGAGAGCGGCGAAGCCAGCACAGTTGCAGACCCGTTGGAACCTTCGGTAAAATACTCTCAGAGAGTGGCACGACGAGCAGTTCACGTTATGAAGTTTAACGACGTCGACAGATGGGTGACGGTACACAAGCGAACAGTATAGCGCATGGTCTCGAGAGTAGAAAAATTGACCGATCAAGGTGGACATGGCGAGTGCTACGCTGGCAATCAGACCTCAACCAATGCCAGCAGGAACAGAGGCAGCACGGTGGCGAACGCAAGCGGTGGGACGACAAAATCAACGCCTACTTACGTCAACGCAATCGAAGCCTCCACCGACCATCCACACAGACCCAATCGAGAGGACAACCAACGGACACAAACAGTCCAAAATACCGAAACATGGGCGGTGCTCGAGCATCCTGTGCCGACCTCGCACCAACAAACACCCAGGACCAAAGCCCATAAAGTGAATGCCCAGAGAACGTCGAGACGACACGCCCAGCCCGCGCCGACACTGACACCAAGGATTTCCTCTTCCTCCTCTGCCTCCCCTTCTCCTGGCTTTTATGTGTCCCGCATCGCATGTACCCAGATAAGCCAACATCTCTAGGCCACGGCCCCACCCACCTGGTCAGAGCTGGGCCCTGACACTGTCCGCATCGGTGGTCGCATCGCGCCGCGCCCTTCCCACCCCTCGACGGGCAGCACAGCGTGTTCGGGCCCCGCGTGGTGGCGCGCCGGCTTCGGGTCGCCGCTCCTGCGAACACCCCCTGCGCCCAGACAGTTCCTACCTCTGTGCACTTTCCCTGCCCGCCATGGCCTCAATCGCGGCACGCTGCTCCAGGGCTGTGGGCCTCACGGTCCGCCAGGTCGGCCCAATTGATTTGACAGTGTCGGGTGAGACCCCTGGTGGGTGTACGGTACGATGCCAGGGTGGCGGGTTGAGGGCCCATGCGAGCATGCCCAGTCAGCCTGCTCTCCGTCGTTTCGGACTTACCGATTCATGCGTATTGGTATGAGTCCCGGCATCCAGGTAAGCTGCAACATTGTCTCATCATTGTCGTTGCCATCATCACATTCATCATCATAAGCATCATCGCCAACAGCATGATCATCACCATCACCATCACTCACATCATCATCATCATCATCATCATCATCATCATCATCATCATCATCATCATCATCATCATCACCATCATCGTCATCATCATCATCATTATCATCATCATCACCACCATCATCATCATCATGCTGGGTCAGCTTCAGGCGAAGTCGTGGTGTACCCGTAGGCGCAGCGGTGTGCAACCGCTAGATGGCTTTACGCCATATCCGCGTGCGTACGGGGTGCCACGAAGAAGGCGGGTTCATGTTGTACCCGCGGGCGTGTGGCGTGTGGAACACGTCCAGTCGGCCAGGGCTCGGGCAAGTGGTCGCTCATGACGCCGGTGTAACAGGCGCCGAGCCCAGCGGCCAAGTCTCCACTCCGAACAGGCGTAACATCGTCGTCGCATTCGGAACTCTATGCCAGGAGTGCGGGGTGAGGGCCCCAGCCAAGCATGGACCTCTTGCCCTTTAGATGTCATCTTGGGGTCCTCTCTGGGCAGTCGTGGGCCCCTCTTTAGGCGATTGAGGGCCGTCTTGGAGGTCTGTGGGGCTGTCTTCGGGCCATCTTGGGGGCCTCTTGGGAGCCTCTTGGGGGCCTCTTGGGCCGTCTTGGGGGCGTCTTGGGCCGTTTTGCGGGCCTCTTTGGGGCCTCATGGGCCGTTGGGGCGCTCTTGTCTTAGGAAATCAATGATTTTGACCTCCTGAGGTCCTCTTGGGGCCCTCATGGGGCGTTTTTGGGGCGTCTTGGGGGCGTCTTGGGGGCCTCCTGGGCTATCTTGGGGCCATCTTGGGCCTACTTGGGCCGTTTTGCGTACATCATGGGCCGTGCACAGACATCTCGGGGCCCAGGGCTATCGTGGGCTTGCTTGGGGCCATCTTAGTCGTCTTTGAGGCCACCTGGGCCGCCTTCGAGGCCATGCAGGGGCCGTCTTGAGCGGGAGGACCCACGACCTGGGGGTTTTCGGGGTGGCCTGTGCGATCGACCGAGACCCTATCATAAATTTTGTGGCAGACCACACTTACCCTGAAGTCTGGCACGTCGAGCGCCTCTTGCAAGCAACATGAGGCGGCGGATCGAAGACGCCTGCGGCGAATCACCGCCGCCCCCTGCCCTAACGTTGGGCTGAAGTCTGGCTGAGCTATTGGACTAGTTCTGTGTTTCTCCAGCCGTTGCGGAACTCCTTGGGGGGAACACGTGGGGGAGAGGAACAGAGGAGGAGGAGAAGGAGGAGGAGGAAGAGGAGGAGGCGGAGGGGGAGGAGTAGGAGCAGGAGGAGGAGGAGGAGGAGGAGGAGGAGGAGGAGGAGGAGGAGGAGGAGAGGAGAGGAGGAGAGGAAGAGGACGAGGAAGAGGAGGCAGGAGGATGAGGCGGAGGAGGCGGAGGAGGAGGAGGAGAGGCGGAGGAGGAGGAGGAGGAGAAGGAGGAGGGAGGGGATGGAGGAGGGAGGAGGAGGAGGTTGGAGGGGAGGGAGGGGGGGAGGGGAGGGAGGGGGGGGGAGGGTGGAGGAGGAGGGAGCACACACGCGCCGACACTGGGTTGCCGTGCAATCAGCCCTTGGACGCGCACGGGTGGCATGCCTGTTGCTGCCCTGTTGGGGGTTCTGCGCAGGTCGCATCAATAACATGCGGGACTGGCACGCTGTCCCCCCCCCACACGCACACACATACATACATACATACATACATACATACATACATACATACATACATACATACATACATACATACATACATACATACACATACATACATACATACATACATACATACACACACATGCATGCATGCATGCATACATACATACATACATACATACACACATATATGCACATACATACATACATACATACATACATACATGCATACACATACATACACACATACATACATGCATATATACAAACACGCATACGCACGTACGTACGTACACACATGGCACATGCACACACACAATCATACATACCTACGTACAATCACACATACATGCGTACATACATATACACAAACATACACACGAAACAACCATACATGCATTATTAGATCCATACGTACGTGCACCTACATCCATTTTACCTGTACACATGCGTACATACAACCATACTGGTACACACGTGCGCAAACAGCATCTTACCTATATACATGCGCACATACACACATACATGCATACACACAACCATACATACGGTCATCTACTTACATACATACGTACGTACGTGCGTACATACACACAACCATACTTACACACACGCACACACGCATACACACATATATATATATCCATTCCGACATACGTGCATTCATACATACACACGTACATGCACGCTTGATGTATGCATGCATGCTCGCATTCATATACACATACAGGCACACATGCACCCATACACACATATACGCACACATCTACTTACATACACACGCGCGTACATATACATACTTACATACTTATATGCGTACGCCCAACATACATCCATACATCCATACATACATCCATACACACATCCATTCATACATACACACGAACTCACATACGTACATCTATACACGCGTACCGCGTACACACGTACTGTCATACATTCGCATAACCAACACACGTGTACACAAACATCCATACACCCATACATCCATACAAGCATACATGAGTTCATACACACATACATACATACAACACTACACGCATACATACATACATACATACATACATACATACATACATACATACATACATACATATATACATACATATATGCATACATACACGCACGCGCACGCATACACGCACATACATACATGTACACACTCAGACATACACATTTACACGCGTACATACATGTGCACAGCCATTCATACACACGTGCAACCACACACATGCATGCATACAGCCATACATGCATTCAGACATACGTACATTCGCATAACACACATACACATGCATACGTACATGCATACACACATGCATGCATACATATACATATGTATACATACATACACACATGCATACATACATACATACATGCAGACATACATACATTCATACGCACATATAAGCAGGCACACGTATATACATACCTGGCGCAGCAGTCAGACAAATCAGGTTTGCACCCCCTTGCCTTGCTGAACTCTGGGCGCGTTTCGGCACCATCCGCCCCAACCTCGTCAGGGATACATGCATACATGCATACATCCAGACAGACAGAGAGACCGACCTACGTACATACGTACACAAACGCGCGCGCCTTACAGGCTACCACGCCGCGAAGGAGCATAGGGTTTCTGGCTGGGACAGGCTGAACCTGCGGACGGGCGTTCTGGAGGAGGCGAAATTGGAGGTTTGTACACGAGACCTCAGCACAGGTCAGCTTATGTACTTGGAATGGAGCGTAGCTTGCGAAAACGACACCCACGGCCCTCTCAGGCGAGCCCGATCCAACAACGACGGGGTCGTGGCGGCGCAGATGGTCCACGACAAGCGCGACCGCTGCACTCCGCAGCTCGGGTCGGGAGCCCACGAGTCCTCGCAAGGGCGCCCTCGGTGTTCGAGTCGGGAGGCCGCCCGTCCGACGCGGCCATCGAATTCACCAGGTCGTGCGGTCATGGCCGCGACGACGCTGACCGGGCCGAGGTCCTCGGGACGTTGTGGAGGCAAGTCAGCCTGCAGACCGACCTCGCCGAAACGCTGGTCAGTGCATTCGAGCTGTAGGCCAGGCCCGACGCAGGCGCTCTGGCCATCGCCGCGGCCACCAAAAGCGGTCGTGGCCACAACCACGGCGGCCTTGACGATCACGACCGCCACCAGCGACCGTGACCACCACCACAACCACGACCTGCGGCCACCCCCACGACTACCACGACCGCCAGTAACCACCGCGACCACCGCAAGCTTGACGCTCGACCACCACCAGCGCGACCGCAACCAGCACGACCGCCGACTAAGCCACCACGACCACCACCATGGCGCCCGACTGCAAACAAGCCCACCCAGCCCGACCCTACAACGCCCGCCACGCCCGCCAGCGCGACCACCACGTCCGCTGTCGGCCCGACCGCCGCGATCCCCACAACGACCGCCGCGCCCGCCAGCGCGACCGCCCCGTCCGCCATCGCCCCCAAGGCCGCCCCAGCTTGCATTTCTCATAACAAATTTGGCCTAGGGGCCCAGGGCCATGACCCCAACGCCCGCGGGTCTTCCTGGTGACGGGGGTGGGGTCCCACTCGGGTGCCCCGGGACTTTTTTAAAAGGAGAGGAGGAGGAAGGCGAGGAGGAGGAGGGCGAGGAGGAGGAGGAGGAGGAGGAGGAGGAGGAGGAGGAAGAGGAAGAGGAAGAGGAGGAAGAGGAGGTGGAAGACGAGGAGGAGGAACAAAAACAATCATGCTAATAGTAACAAACAGACCGTACTAATTCGAACGTGATCAATAACAATATTAAACGCAACAAACACGAACAATACGATGAAGAGGAAGAATAATGAGAGGGAGACGAATAGTATCAACACTGATGCGAATAACATGAACAATAACACTATTCAACATATCAAGTACAGTATTAATGCTAAGACAAGTAAGCAACACAGTAATCATCAGAGTGAGGGGGCCGAACGGTCATTCACTGTCCCTGGGTGCGTGGCAGAAGTGGGATTCCGCGGTGCGGATTCTTGTTGTTGTTGTTGTTGTTGTTGTTGTTGTTGTTGTTGTTGTTGTTGGTTGTTGTTGTTGTTGTTGGTGGTGGTGGTGGTGGTGGTGGTGGTGGTGGTGGTGGTTGTTGTTGTTGTTGTTGTCTGTTGTCGTCGTCCCACCCGCAACCCGCCCCGCGACCCACCCGCGACCCACCCCGCGACCCACCCGCGACCCACCCGCGACCCACCCGCGACCCACCCACCCCGCGACCCACCCGCCCCCGCCGCCCCACCCCCGCGACCCACCGCGACCACCCCGTGCGGGGGGGGACCCACCCGCGACCCACGCGACCACCGCGACCACCCCGCGACCCACCCGCCGACCACCGCGACCCACCGCGGACCCACCCGCGACCCACGCGACCCACCCCGCGACCCGCCAGCGACCCGCCCCGCGGCCCACCGCGACCCACCCGCGAACAACCCGAGACCCGCGACCCACCCGCGACCCACCCGCGACCCACCGTGCGACCCACCCACGACCCACCGTCGACCCAAACCACGTTCAAGGTACAAACCACCATTTTCGGCGTCTGCGGCTGGTTTTTTTGCATTCCTTCCAGGTGGAGAGCCCGCGGCCCACCCGCGACCAACTCGCGACCAACTCGCGACCCAAACCACCGTCAGGGTACAAATCACATTTTTCGGCGCCTGCGGCGGGCATCTTTTGCATTCGTTTCAGGTGGAAAGCCCGCGGCCCACCCGCGACCATGTTCAGGGTACGAACCAATTTTTTCGGCGCCTGCGGCGGGCATCTTTTGCAGTCGTTCCCAGTGGAGAACCCGCGGCCCACCCGCGACCCAAACCACGTTCAGTGTGCAAACCAAATGTTTCGGCGCCTGCGGCGGGCTGTTTTTTTGCATCCCTTCCAAGTGGAGGTGGAGAGCCCGCGACCCAGCCGCGACCCAAATTCACTGAACAAACCATTGCCGCACAAGCGCGGCGGCGGATGACGGGAAGCGCCTTTGGCGTGGACCGTTTGTTGGTGGTAGAAATTCACGATGGGGTACGGGGCGCACTTTGAAACCACGCTGGCGGATTCTTGAAAAATGCCGTTTCGCTCGAGACATCCTCCAAACATCGGCCCAAGAGGGGACTCCGAATCGACGTCGTGTTCGAATCGCTCTTGGAGGGCTTTCCAACTGCCCAAGGGAGGCCCAAAAGATGCCCAGGAGTGCCGAAGAGCGCCCCAAGAAGACTCCAAGAGACCCCCAAGAGCGCTCTAGGAGCCACCCAGGCAGCTCACAAGAACCCCAAGACGGCCCGAGAAGGGCCAAGAAGGCCCCAAGAGACTCCCGGCAGCGCCCCAGGAGGCCCCCAAACGGCCCAAGAAAGCCGCAAGACGGCCCAAGATGGCGCCGAGACGGCCTAAGAAAGCCCCCACAGAAGCCCACGACGCGCCCAGACAGCTCAAGAAGACCCCAGAAGCCCAGAAGAGGACCCAAGGGGCCCCCAAGAAGCCCCAACAGGCCCCAAGACAACCCCGTGCGGCTCCAGGAGCAACGTCTTTCTCCAATTGCCTCTTACTGTCCTCTGTCGTCGTCGTCGTCGTTGTCGTCGTCGTCATCGCCCTCCGCATTCCTCCTCGTACTCGCCCTCGTTCTCTTCGTCCTCGTCCTTGTGCTTCTCTTCCTCCTCGTTGTCCTCATGCTCCTCCTCGCTATCCTCACGTTCGCCACTTCGCCCTCGTCATCGACTCCTCGTTGTCCTCGCCTTCCTTTTCTTCTTCGTCAAATACGCACATTAGACTAAAGCGGTGCTTCCCGTTCTTGTCCGATCCGGTTTTTGCATGCCGTCTGAGCCCGCAACGACCTCTTCAAGCCCCGCGCATCCACGCCAGCCCGTCCAGCAACTTTGCCCTGGCGAGTTGCCTTGATCAGAGCAGTCGGGGAGCATAAAGTGGAACAAAGGATTGCGTTGCCGTTATCTTGGGAAAGGAGGGAGAGGCAGGAGGAGTAAACAGGGGACGAGGAGGACGCGGAAGAAGAGAGGATGTAAGGAGAATGTGGAGAAAGACGAGGAGGAGGAGGAGGAGGAGCAGGAGGACGAGGGGGAGGAGGGGGAGGAGGAGAAGGAGGAGGACGAGGAGGGGGAGGGGGGGAGGAGGGGAGGAGGATGATGATGATGACGGCAATGGGAGGACGATGATGGAGGCCGATGAAGGGGGAGGACGACAATGGGAGGACGATGATGAAAGGACGAGGGGGGGAGAGGGAGGACGAGGAAGAAGAGGAGGAGGAGGACGAGGACGATGACGATGAGGACGAGGACGAGGAAGAGGAGGAGGAGGAGGAGGAGGAGGAGGAGGAGGAGGCCATCGACAGGGAAGGTGGGGACCACGAGGTCCGCCGGCTCGACGACGCCCGCGTCGCCCGCGCCCGCCCCCTCACTCTTACCCGCAATTGTGGGGTGCTACGTTATAGTGAGGCAATGCGTAATGGTAAGAAGAGGAATATTAATACACATTTTAATGCTACCCGTAAGAACAATACCACGGATACTTTACATGCTAATGTTACAAAGAGCACCACTAGTACTACTAATCCGGATAGGAGTACTACTAATCCGGATAGGAGTACGAAGACTTATATAGGAGTAATACCCCACTACTACGACTAGTAATAATACGAACGCTAACACGACGTGCAATATTACTACCTCTGATGCTGATAAGAAGAACATAATATTACGGTGTTGTTTTCAAGAGTCAGAGTAATAGTACGGATAAGAAGAATACTACTGATACGACTAAGAGTATTACTAATACGAGTAAGAATATGATTGTGATTGTGATGGAACCAAACATATTGCGATGGAAAATGATAATAGCATCAACAATAAGAGGACAACGGCGAATATTGCTAATACCTATTGGGACGACAACGAACGAAGTAAATTTTGTAGTGCTAATGACAAGAAGCATGCGAACAGTGGCAAGACGAAACATATTCATACCAATTCTACTAAAAAGAAAAATGAGAACCATGAATTCTACCAGTACTACGAATACTAAGACTAATGCTAATACGAGGAGGAGGAGGAGCAGGAGGCGGAGAAAGAGGACGAGGAGAAGGAGGTGGAAGTGGAGGAGGAAGAGGAGGAGGAGGAGGAGGAGGAGGATGACAAGGAATATGAGCATGCCTTCTGACGGCCTTTTGGAACCTCCATGGGGGCTTCCTGAACCTCCAGGGGGCCTGTGAGGGGTCTCTCGGGGGCTTCCTGGGGCTTCTCTGGGGCCTCCTGGGGCTTTGTGGGGCCTTTTGGGAGCCTCTGGGCGCGTCAAGGGGACCTCATGGCCTTCGGCTGTCTTGGAACCCTCGTTGGCCAGGAGTTGTGAGTGTCCTTTCTTGCGCTTTAGGGCCGTCTTTGTGGTCCATGGGGCGGTCTTGGGGCCGTTTTGGGGGCCTCTTGGGCTGTATTCGGGCCCTTTTGGACCGTCTTTCGGGCCTCTTCGGGGCCTTCTGGACCATATTGGGGCGATCTTTGGGGCCTATGGGGCCGTCTTGGAGCGGCGGATGTCCAAAGAGGTGACAACGCCCAAATCATTGAACAACCATGTGGGATCAATGATTTTGGCCTCCTTTTGGTCCTCTTAGGGCCCTCGTGGGGCGTCTTGGGGGCCTCTTGGGCCGTCTGGAGGACATCTTGGGCCGTCTTGGGGGCCATCTTGGCCGTGTTGCAGACATCATTGGGGCCTCTCGGGGCCTCAGCGGGCCATCTGATACATTTTGGCCGTCATGGAGGCCATCTTGGTTCCCTTGGAGGCGATTTGGTCAATGAGGGGCCCATGTTGGTATGCTTGTACGATCGGCCGAGAACCAACGTAATCAAACGTCCGGCCCGCCGCGCACACTTGTGGCAAGCCACAGGCGGTGGCGGATCGAAAACGCAGGCGCCGAATCACCGCCGCCCCCTGCCTTTCGGAAGCGCCTATGTGGCCGAACGTTGCGCCCAGAGCTCGTCGAAGCTATCGGACTGACTACGTGTTTCTCCCAGCCGACGTGGAAATCCTTTCGGTCACACGTGGGGGAGAACGAAGAGAAGAGGAGGAGAGGGAGGAACAATGAGGACGAGGAGGCCACTTGGGAGCCTCTTCGGGCACTCTTGGGGCCTCCTGGGAGCTTTTTTGGGGCCTCTTGGAGGCCTCTTGGGGGCTTCCTTGGGCTTCTTGGGGGCAATTGATGCCTCCATTGGAGCCTCTTTGGCCGTCTGAGGGCGTTCCTGGCCCGTCTGACGCTGTCGGACGCCGTCTTGAAGGCCTCTCTGGGCCGACTTGGGGCCGTTTTGCGGTGCTTCAGGGCTGTCTTGGAAGCCATGTTAAGCATCTTGGAGGTCGTTGGGCCGTCTCGGGCCCCCCTGTTGGGGCCGTCTTAGGAGCCTCTTGGGGCGCCAGGGGGCCATCTCAGAGGCCTCTTGGGCGCTTTTGGGGCCATCTTGGCGGCTTCTGGGGCCGTCCTGGGCCGTCGGAAAGCCGGAAAGGAGCACCCCCCCAAATCCTTCAAACATTCAATGGGGGATCAAGTACTTCGGCCTCTTCGGGGCTTCCTGGAGGTCCTCTTGGAGCCCTCTTGGGTCTTCTTGGAGGCCTCTTGGGTGATGTTGAGACCATCTTGGCCTGTCTCGGGGAGGCATCTCGGCCCGTCTTGAAGACATCTTGGGGTCATCTCGGGCTCCATTGGGCTATCGAAGCCGTGTTGGAGACCATCTTGGCCGTCTTGAAGATCATCTCTGCGCCTTCTGGAACGGTTAGACCGACGACCTGGGAAGTTTATGAGTTCTTATGGGGTGGGAAAACCAATGGAGACCGAAGTCTATGCGTTCTCCCGGGTGGCCGGCGGTATGGGCCGAAGGCCCATTGGGAATTTTGAAAAGAACAAGCGTTTATCTGACATTCGGCCCGCCGTGCACCTCTGTGGCAAGCCACACGGGGCGGCGGATCGAAGACTCCCACAGCGAATCACTGTCGCCCCCTGCGTTTTGGAAACGATCGTGCGGCCGAGCGTTGGGCCGACGTCAGGCCAAGCTATTGGACCATGTGTTCCCTCGGCCGTTGCGGAATTCCTTGGGGGAAGACGTGGGGGAGAGGAAGAGAAACGAGGAAGAGGAGAGGGAGGAGACAGCGGATGAGGAACATGAGGAGGCCTTTTGAGGCCCTCTTTGGGCTCTTGGGGGCTTCCTGCGGGCCTTTTGGGGGCTCTACTGGGCATCTTGAGGGCCTTCCGGGGCCTCTCGGGGGTCTCCTAGGATTGGGGAGATACCTTGGGGGCCTCGTGGGGATCTCCTGGCCTTCGGAGATCGTCTTGGGCCATTCCTGCGTAGTCGTGGTCCCTCTTTGGGCGCTTGAGGGCCGTCTTGGAGGTCTCTGGGGCCGTCTTGCGGGCGTCTTGGGGGCCGCCTTGGGGCTGTCTTGGGGCCCTCTTGGGCCGTCTTGCGGGCCCCCCGGGTGCCCCCGGGGTCGTCTTGGGGCGATCTTGGGGGCCCGTGGGCCCGGCTGGGCGCTAAACTCATTCAAACAATACAAGGAACAGCTCAGAGTTTGGCCTCCTGGGAATGCTTCTGAATCCCACTTGGGGCGCGTCTGGAGGACATCTTGGCCGTCTTGGAGGCCATCCTGGGCGTCTTGAGGGCCTCTCGGGCCGTCTCTGGGCCCTCTCGGGGCCGTCTTGGGGGCCTCGTGGGCCGTCATCGGGTCATCCTGGCAGCCTCTTGAGTGATATTGGGGCTATCTTGGGTGTCTGTTGGGCCGACTTGGGCCGTCGGACGGCAGAAGAGGAGCATCTACACACATCTTTGAAACACCTACGGAACATCTATGATCTTGGCTTCTTCGGGCCTTCCTGTATGTCCTCTTGGATGCCTCTTGGATCGTCTTGGATGCCTTTTGAGGGCCTCTTGGGCTCTCTTGGGCCATTCGAAGACCAACTTGGGCCGTCTTGGCTGCATCTTGGGCCGTCTTGGTTGTACGCCTCTTGGGACCCTCTTGGGGCCGTCTTGGGGGCCTCTCGGGCTGTCGTGGGGCAATTTTTGAGATCTCTTGGGCGATCGTGGGAACCACTTGGACCGTCTTGAGCCGTCGGAAGATCATTTTGAAGCAAATACCGAAATCCAGCAACAACCGAAGGAAAATCACTGATGTTGGTCTCTTCGGGTCTTCCTGGAGGAGCTCTTGGAGGTCTCTTGGGCCGTCTTGGGGACCGCTTGGGCGCTTCTTGGGCCGTCTTGGGCTCTCTTGGACCATCTGGGCGGTCTTGGAGGCATCTTGAAGACCATCGTGGGCTCATCTTGGGGCCCTCTTGGGTTCATCTTGGCCGTCTTGGAAGCAAGGGGGCTATCTGGGACGTCTTCGAGCCCACAGGGGCAAATGAAGATAAACTTTGAGGAGCTCTCCGTGTGGCCGGCGTGCTGGGCCGAAGCCCCAGGGGGAGTTTGTAAGATAAGCAAAAACAACCAACAGTTCATCATTCCTGGCGCCCCTGTGACAAATCAACAGGGGGCGGTGGATCGAAGACGCCCACGGCGAATCACCGCCGCCCCCTGCCTTTAGAATCGCCCATGTGGCCGAGCGTTGTGGCAAGAACTCCGCCAAGCTATAGGACCATGTGTTCCCCCAACCGTTGTGGAAACCCTTCGGGGAACACTTGGGGGAGGATGGCAGGAATATCAGTAGGCGGAGGAGGAGGAGGAGGAGGAGGAGGATGAGGAGGAGGAGGAGGAGGAGGAGGAGGAGGAGGAGGAGGAGGAGGGGGCATCTTGGGAGCCTATGACGACACTCTTGTGGCCTCCTGGGAGCTTCCTGGGAGCCTCTTGGAGGCATCTAGGGGGCCTCCTTGGGCCTCTTGGGGGCTTTTGGGGGCTTCTCGGGGGCCACTTTGGCCGTCTTAGTGGGCTCCTGGCCTGCCTGACGCCGTCGGAAGCCGTCTTGGGGGCCTCTCTGGGCCGACTCGGGGCACTCTTGGGGTGCTCCAGGGCCGTCTTGGAGGCCATCTTGGGCATCTTGGAGGCCTCTTTGTTCGTCTTTGGGCCCTCTTGGGGCCGTCTTGGGTGCCTCTTGGGCCGTTCTGGGGCCATCTTGGAGGCCTCTTGGGCGTTTTGGGGGCGATCTTGGGTGCTCTTGGGCCGTCTCGGGTCGTCGGTAGGCCGAAAAGATTCGCATGCTAAAATCCTTCAAGAACCTATGGACAATCAATGATTTTGGCCTCTTCGGGCCTTCCTGGAGGCCCTCTTGGAGGCCGTCGTGGGCCGTCTTGGGTCATCTATAGGGCGATGTTGGGCCGTCTTGGTGGGCTCCTGGCCCGTCTGACGCCGTCTGAAGCCGTTTTAGGGGCTTCTCTGGGCCGACTTGGGGCCCTCTTGGGGTGCTCCATGGCCGTCTTAGAGGCTTTCGTGGGCGTGTTACAGGCCTCTTTGTTCGTCTTTGGGTCCTCTTGGGGCCGTCTTGGGGGCCTCTTGGGCCGTTCTGGGGCCATCTTGGAGGCCTCTTGGGCGATCTTGGGGCGATCCTTGGGGGCTCTTGGGCCATCTCGAGCCGTCGGACGGCCGAACGGAAGCACATGCCAAAATCTTTCGAAACCCTAACGACAATCAATGATTTTGGCCTCTTCGGGCCTTCCTGGAGGCCCTCTTGAAGGCCCCTTTGGCCGTCTTGGGCCATCTTTGAGCAATCTTGGGCCGTCTTGGTGGGTTCCTGGCCCGTCTGACGCGTGGAGGTCATCTTGGCCATCTGGGAGGCATCTTGAAGGCCATCTTGGGCCCTCTTGAAGCTGTCTGCAGCAGGGAAACCTTTGCAACCACCTCTTGCGATCCCTTCCGGGGCCTTCCAGGTGGCCGGCGGGACGGGCCGGGGCCCCAGGGGAGAGTTCCTTTGGAAAAAGAACCAAAACCCAAACTGGAAGGGTCCAGCACGGGGCACCCCTGTGACAAGTACAGGGGGCAGCGGATCTAGTTGACTTCGGCCCGTACCGCCACCGTGCGTGCCTGGGTTGTAGTTCAGAGGTTGCTTGCATACCTCTGGGGATCTCTTGGCAGGCCTTTCGGAAACCTCTTGCAGGCGGTTTTGGGGGTGTCCGGGGGCCTCCTGGGGGCCCCTTGGTGGGCTTCTTGCGGCTTGAGTTGGGCCTCGTGAGAGCCTCCTGGAGCTTCTGGGGCGCTTCGGGGGGATCTGTTGGTGGTCTCAGGGATCATCTTGGGGCGGAGCGCTCGAAACGTGGATTCGTTTTCCCTCTCTTGGGGCCCTCTCGGGTTGTCTTGAGGCCCTCTTGAGTCGTCTTGGGGCCCTCTGGCCGTCGGGGGGTTCTCTTGACGGCCTTTTGGCCAGTCCTGGCGGTCTTGGTGGCCGCTTGGGCCGTCTTGGACCTCCTCCCTCCTTCCTTTTTCCCTCCCTCCTCCCTCCTCCCTCTTTCATCCTTCCTCCCTCTCCCTCCCTCTTTTCCCTCGTCCCTCGATGCCCGGAAATCGGGGCCCGAGCGCTCGTCGCCGCCGTCGTGTCGTGCTGGAGTCCTCGTCGGCCTGCGCCGGGGGGGAGGTCTTCGCGTCGCCGTTCGTGCGCTGCTTCGAGACCGCCGCCGAGGTGTCCAGGGGGGGGCAGGGGCGATCGGGAGGCGGAGGAGAAAGAGAAGATCAGAGGAGGGCCAGTTGAGAGAACGGCCCTCATCGCTCTGCGGATGGACACTGGTCGGAAATCTGGTGCGTTCGGACCCCAGGAGGGGTCCAAGGATTTTTGTGTGTTAGCTGCTGTTGTCTCAAGTCGTCCATCTCCGATGGGAGGAGGAGGAGGAGGAGGAGGAGGAGGAGGAGGCTGAGGAGGAGGAGCGGAGAGGAGGAGGAGGAGGAGGAAGAGGAGGAGGAGGAAGAGTGAAGAGGAGGAGGAGGAGGAGGGGTGGAGGAGGTGGGAGGAGGGAGGAGGAGGAGGGAGGAGGGAGGAGGGGAAGGAGGAGGGAGGGGGAGGAGGAGGAGGAGAGGAGGAGGAGGAGGCGGAGGGCGGAGGAGGGAGGAGGCGGAGGAGGCGAGCGGAGGAGGCGGAGGCGGAGGCGGAGGCGGAGGCGCAGAGGCGGAGGCGGAGGCGGGGGCGGAGGCGGGCGGAGGCGGAGGCGGAGCGGAGGCGGAGGCGCGAGGTGGAGGCGGAGCGGAGCGGAGCGGAGGCGGAGGCGGAGGCGGAGGCGGAGGCGGCGGCGCGGCGGCGGCGGCTAGGCGGCGGCGGAGGAGGAGGAGGAGGAGGAGAGGAGGAGGAGGAGGAGGAGGAGGAGGAGGAGGACGAGGAGGTGGAGGAAGGAGGAGGAGGAGGAGGAGGAGGAGGAGGAGGTGGAGGAGGAGGAGGGAGGAGGAGGAGGAGGAGGGAGGAGAGGCGGAGGAGGAGGAGGAGGAGGGCGGAGGACGGGGAGGAAGATGGGGAGAGGCGGAGGCGGAGGTGGGGAGGAGAGAGGAGTAGGAGGAGGAGGAGGAGGAGGAGGAGGAGGAGGAGGAGGAGGAGGAGAGAGGAGGAGGGAGGAGTAGGAGGAGTAGGAGGAGGAGGAGCAGGAGGAGGAACATGAAGAGGAAGAAGAAGAAGAGGATGAAGAGGAGGAGGAGGAGGAGGAGGAGGAGGAGGAGGCGGAGGAATGTGATGATGATGCTGATGATGATGCTGATGATGATGATGATGATGATGATGATGATGCTGCTGACGATGATGCGGATGATGATGCTTTTGATGCTGCTGATGATGCTGCTGCTGATGCTGATGATGATCATGATGCTTATGCTGATGCTGGTGATGATGCTGATGATGGTGACGGTGATGGTGATGGTGCTGGTGATGATTGATGGTGATGATGCTGATGATGAGGAGGAGGATGATTAGGAGGAAGAGGAATCTTAGGACCATGTGGGCAAGTCGACGAACGAGCACAATACTGCATAGAGTCGTTGCTGCCGCTCCTCCTGCTTGTCTTTCAAGGAAGAATGTGCGCGCCGTTGCGCGCGTTCTCGAGGCATTTGTGAGGATATGACGCTTCCTGCGTCTTAGTGGGACAGGGTGTGCGCGTCTTTTTCTCGGCGCGCGCGTATCAACATCCTTTTCTCACACCTACTGAACGGGACTATATATCAATGTCGCAGGACTTCGTGAAGAGTCCCTCCGTCAACAAGATCCTTTGGAAGGGAACGCCCGAGCCAGGAGACCCGAGTAATGCCAGCTCGTGATTATCTGGTGCCCCCCTCTGTTCCAAGCCTGACAAGCAGACCCCGCGGGGCGCGACTTGTTTCCTTAATCACGCGCGCGAGGAGGTCGCCGCGGGCGCCGCCGAGGGGACCGTGTACCCCCCTCCGCCCTGCTCAGACCGATTGCATGCCGTATTAAAAATTGTAGAGTGGGTCGTATACATCCGAGACGAAGTTTTGTCCCTTCTCTCAGGCTGGTCACTGACGTGCCGCAGTCGTCGTCGTCGTCGTCGTCGTCGTCGTCGTCGTCGTCGTGGTCGTGGTCGTGGTCGTCGTCGTCGTCGATGCGGATGATGATGTTGATGCTGATGATGGTGATAATGATGATGATGATGATGATGATGATGATGATGATGATGATGATGATGATGATGATGATGATGATGATGATGATGATGATGATGATGCTGATGATGATGATGATGATGATGATGATGTGATGATGATGATGATGATGATGATGATGATGATGATGACGATGATGATGATGATGATGATGATGATGATGATGATAAAGGGCATGACCAATATGGTTGTGACGCTGATGAGGAGGATGATGAGGATGAGGATGATGACGGGGATGCTGTTGATGAGATGCTGATCATTCTGCTGATGGGCAGGAGACTTGCGATGATAGTCAGATGCTGCTGATGATGCTGATTCTGATGATGATGATGACGACGATGAATATGATGCTGATTCTGACGATGATGCTGATCATGCTGCTGATAATGCTGCTGATGATGATGCTTATGCTAATGCTGGTGATGGTGGAAGTGATGATGATGCAGAGGATGATGCTGCTGCTGCTGATGATGATGGTGGTGGTGGTTATGATGATGCTGCTGATGACGACGACGACGATGAGGATGATGATGATGATGATGATGATGATGATGAGGAGGAGGAGGAGGAGGAGGAGAAGGATAAGGCGTAGGAGGAGGTGGAGGAGGAAGGGGAGGAGGAAGGGGAGGAAGAAGAAGAGGAGATAAAACTCTTAATATTATTATTAATAGTATCAATAAACATGGTATCACTAAGCATTTTTATACTGTTAATAATAATATTAAGAATACTAATCGTACACATCGATTAATACTCTAAATGATACCATTACTCAGGCTAATCATAATAATAATAAGACGAATGATAGTAATGATACTAATAAAATAAGACGAATAATTATCATACTAAGGATAATATTCAGGGAAGGAGGTGGAGGAGAAGGAAGATCTGGATGATAGCTTTGAGAAGGGGGCAGAAGAGGAGGAGGAGAAGGCAAGCTGAGGATGAGGATGAGGAGAAGGAGGAAGAGGAGGAGGAGGCGGAGGAGGAGGAGGAGGAGCAGGAGGAGGAGCAGAGGGGGGCGATGAGGAGGGGGAGGAGGAGGATGAGAAGGAACCGGAGGATGAGCAGGATGGGGGAGGGGGAGGTGGAATAGCAGGTTGAGGGGGAGGAATCGGAGGAGGAGGAGGAGCAGGAGGGAGGAGGAGGAGGAGGAGGGAGGAGGAGGAGGAGGAGGAGGAGGAAGAGGAGGAGGAGGAGGGATGGAGGAGGAGGAGGAGCAGAAGGAGGAGGAGGAGGAGGAGGAGGAGGAGGAGGAGGAGGAGGAGGAGGAGGAGGAGGAAGTGGATGGAGATGGCGCCTTTGCCCCGCCCCCACGGCTTCGCCGGAGCGCAGGTTGCCCGCGCGGTGGGCGTGTCCTCCGTGTGCGTGGAGCCCGCTCTCTCCGAGAGTTTCTGCGAGCGCTTCTATGCCAGAGGCGCTGCGATGCGTTCGCCGCCGCGCGCCCCCCTTCCGAGATGCTGTTCGGATTCTTGGTTATTGCTGTGGTTTTTGCTTTTCCTCTCCCCCCTCCTCCCCCCTGGGTCCCTGGAGGCTCAAGGACCGAGTTTTGGTTTCTGTTGTCCCCTGGGAGGCTCCGCGTCGCCGCGGCTGTATTTTCCCTCGCCGATTCGTGGGATCGGAGGTGGAGGAGGAGGAGGAAGAAGAAGAAGACGAATGATAATACTAATATTAAGAAGACTAAGAAGCATACTATTAATATTAGTACTAAGAAGAATACCTTGACTGGCGAATAATGCGAATACGATTAAGAAGCGTCATAATAAGAAACACAATAATAACAGGAAGAAGACGAGTCATACTAATACTACGAAGAATAAGAAGACTATTACGAATGATACTCACACTCATAGTGAACATATGAATGTTAATAATAGTAACAAGCCGCGCTTATTATACTAATAAGAAGGACACTAGTACTAATTACAAGAGTAATGCAACTACTAGTGATATTTTTGTTATTAGTAAGCATAATACGAATAATAATGCTACTACTATTAATAATAATTTGAAGACGAAGACTACTAATACTAAGAATACGAATAAGAATAATACTACGGAACACAATAATAACACCAATACTAATAAAACAAGAAGAATAGTAAGACTAATAAGAGGAGGAGGAGGAGGAGGAGGAGGAGAAGGAGGAGGAGGAGGAGGAGGAGGAGGATAAGATGGAGAAGCAGGAGGAGGAGGAGAAGGAGGAGGAGCAGGAGGAGTAGGAGGAGATGGACGAGGAGGAGGAGGAGGACGCGGAGAGGCAGAGGGCAGGAAGGCAGGATCAGGAGATAGAGCAGGAGGGAAGCCACAGCAAAACCACGGCCCAGGATGAAGCAGCGATGATGCAGTGCACACTCCTCGTGATCGTTTTCGTATTCCTTGTTTTGCCGATCGGCGCGGACCCTCGCACCCCCCTCCCTCCCTCCTGGAGCGGATCTTGGCTTTTTTTTGGCGCCTGTTTCGAGCAGGTGGAGCCTCTCCCCCCTGGGGCGCACGGTTGCAAACCGCCGCCCCAAGCAGGGGTCCGGAGCCAGACCTCCCCCCCCCCCTTTTCCGCCCCGCCCAATGTCGAAACGCCGAATAAAAAGCAGCGCTCACCTGTTCCAAGTCCCCTACGCCTGTGGTCCTGCAGGCGCTCGTTTTCACTATGGGAGGCCACCTCGAAGGACAGTCAGGCGAGAGACCCGTTAGCAAATGATCCGCCTTTCATTCCGCTAGCCATGAGGCGCTCAAAGAGACAGTACCATGCGGTTCAATCTTGTACACTGCGATTGTAATTCGTTTTTTGTGGGGGGAGGGGGGGGCTCCTGGAGAAGTCTGGATACCCCTGGTGGACCAAGGAAATCAAAAGGGGACGATAGGCTCGGAGGTCCTGGAGGCTTCCGAGTGTGTGTTGCTGCGGTTTCGACTGCCTCCCTGGAGTTTTCCAAAGTGTTTAGGCGTGTTCGCAATTCTTGACGCTTCGTGTATCCCCACCAGCACATGCCGCCGAGCACGCTGGACTGCTTGCGCAGCCCCGCGCTTTGCCACGTTCGGTGGCACGTCTACCTCTGGCGCCTGGCGCGACAAGGTACAATTCGTTCGTCTTCCCGGTGGTCTCGCCCCTGGGATGGCTGCACGTCGGCCGCCTGGCTCTCCTGGCAGTTCCTGCAGCCTGCCTTCAGCCCCCGGCGCCACTCAGCATCCCTCGGCGGCAGCCTCGGCAGCCGTGAGTGCGCTCGCTGGGTAATTAGGCTCCGCCCGTAGCCCGGGTCGTCCTTTGACGCCGCCTGCGCCTGCGCTTGCGGCTGCGACCAAAAAGTATCCCCACCAGCCCATCCAGGGCTCCTTTCGATTTCCCCGATTCGATCCGATTCGGTTTCGATGGGTTCCGATTCCGATTCGATATGACTTCGGGTTCCAATTCGGATTTCGATTTCTCAATGGAGGCCTACTAGCCTGCCGATTTCTGCCGATTCGACTTCTCCCGACTCGGCTGCCGATCTCCGCCGATCCGATTCATTTCGGTCACCGATCCGACTTATTCGATTCTGGGCTCTCCTGCCCATCGAGCAACGGCCCCCAGGCGCGTTGCATTGATCAGTGGCGTGTCTGAGCACGCAGTGGAATTACGAGAGGGGGCCAAACCGAAGGTCGGGATCTGCCTTGGCAAAGTCAGGTATAAAGCGTAATTACCTTTGCGAATCTATCGGCGTGGGAACCGCTTTACAGTTCACATGCACATTGTTCGTTCACTATTCGGATCAGCTTGGATGCCTTCGGGGCCCTTGAAGCACTCTTGGCGCTTTTGTGTGGCCTCTTGGGGGCCCTGGTGGCCTTTTTGATGCCACAGGACATCGATCAATAATGGGGGTCCATGATAAAAAAGGGTTGCCCCTCTTCAACCCAAGCATGCGCTTCTGGGAGCGCTTGTTGGCTGCTCTTGGGACGCCTCTTGTTCTCTCCCAGGATAGCATTTAGGGGCCTTCCTGGGCTCCCCTTGGGTCTCCCTTTGGCCATCTTGAAGCCGCTTCCAGGCGTCGGAAAACCAAACAAGGGGAACGGCGATAATGCCAACCACAATAACAACACCACCAACAACAATCATGTTAGGACAGTTGGATCTTATCTGCTCGCGTGCCCTTCAACACGTATATCCCAAATCCTCGATCTCCGTTTTCGTCGTTTTCGATCGTCTCCCGCATGGGGGTGTATTTTTACCTGCAACGTGTATTTTGTGAAGCCCCTAAGGCAGGGGAGGAGAAGACATATGGAAGGAAGGGACAAGGAAGAGAGAGGAGGATGTGGTACGAGAGAGAGAGAGAGAGAGAGAGAGAGAGAGAGAAAGAGAGAGAGAGAGAGAGAGAGAGAGAGAAAGAGAGAGAGAAAGAGAGAGAGAGAAACACAAACACATGGCTGGATGGCGGGCTAGGAGCAGAATGCAAGTGGCAGAACCAGACGGGCAGATCGGGCGGGTGGGCCCAAACGGGCGGGTCGGGAAGGCGGGCCCAGGCGGCCAGGTCGAACAGCGGGTTGCTGAAGCGTGCGTCCTGCATGGATCGCGGGGAAGTCTCGAGCGATAGCGCGATTCCCGAATAATCGCAAGGAAAATCCACAGCAAGAGTGTGATTCCTGAGTGTCGAGGGCGCGGCGCCTGAATCAATTGTGGGGAAGTCCCACGCGAGAGCGCGATTTCGGTGTAAATTGTGAGGAAGTCCTGCGCGAGAGCACGATCTTCAAATAATTTGTGAGGACGTATTCGGCGGGAGCCGTTGTTGTTATTGTTGTGGTTAATATTGTAAGCCGGGGGCCAGGGGTACAATTTGGTGACGTCTGATTTTCCCAATAAGAAATCAGGGTGCGAGCCCTGGGATAAGCACATTAATTGCACAAGACAATGGTTACCGCGCAGGGGGGATCAACAATACTAATTGTTCAGAAATGAGATTTGAGCAACAGCAACAACACCAACAACACCAGCAACACCAACACCACCAACAACACCAACACCAACACCGACAGCAGCAGCAACATCAACACCGTCAACAGCAACAAACACAACACCAACAACAACGCCACCACCAATAACATCAACAGCACCAACAACACCACCACCAACAACAACAACAACATATCAACAACAACAACATCAGCAACAGCAGCAACATCACCGTGTGTGTGAGAGAGAGAGGGAAATAGTGCGTGTTCTTCATATTTTGGACGGATTCTTGCCTCTTGTGAGCATCCCTGTGGAGGCATGGTGGTGGCCGTCTTGCGATACACCGAGGCATCCTGGATGCCATGTTGGGCTGCCTGATGCCATCTTGGGGCCATGCTCGCCCAATAGCTTCATTCATATGCCCCCGATGTGGAGGAGTCTCAGTTTTTTTTTTTTTTCTCGTTTTTTCTCTTCTTCTTCTTCGAAAAAGGTTTGGCTGTGAGCGAAAAGGGGGGGGGTCTCAATTATGCCTGCTCCTCGTGAGCTCTTGCGGCGCTCTTGGGGCGCTGCGAGGGCCGTGTTGGTGCCATCGTGGGCCGTTCTTGGGGCTGTTTGGGGCTCTCTGGGGCCCGGTTGGAGCCATCTTGAGGCCTCAAGGGCCCATCGGAAGCACGCGTTCGAGAATGGCAAACGCGCGCACGCACATGCACACACACGCCCGTACGCCCGCACGCGCGCATGCACGCACGCACGCACGCACATACGCACACACAACACCCACGCACGCACGCACGCACGCACGCACGCACGCACACACGCACACGCACACACGCACGTACACACACGCACACACACGCACACACACACAACACACACAACACACACCACACAACACACAACACACAACACACAACACACAACACACACGACACACACGACACACACCACACACACCACACACACAACACACATAAAACACAACACACAACACACACAACACAACACACTCCACAACACACAGCACACACCACACACATCACACACAGCACACAACACACAGCACACAGCACACAATACAGACAACAGACACCACTGCACACACCACACAAACCACACAGCACACAACACACAACACACACAACACACAACACACAACACACACATAACACAGTATACACACCACACACAACACAACACAACACACCACTCAACACACAACATACACACCACACATAGCACATAGTACTGAACACATACCACACACACCACACACAACACACAACACACAACACAGAACACACCCACACCATGCACAACATACACAGCACACAGCACACACAACACACAACCTCCACACCACGCGCAACGCACACAACACACAACACACAGCACACACAGCACACAACACGCACACACCACACAACACAACACACACCGCAACACACAACACACACCACACACACCACACAGCACACACAGCACGCACAGCACACAACACACAACACACACGACACACACAACACACAACACACAACACACAACACACATACTGTACACAACACACAACACACATTAGACAACACACACCACACAACGCACAACACACAACACACAACAACACAAACCACACAACACACAACACACACAACACACAACACACAACACACACCACATACCACACAACACACACACAACGCACACATGCCACACACAACACACAACGCACACAACACACACAACATACATTACACACCACAGCACACAACACTACAAACACGACAACACACACCACACCAATTACCACAACACACCACAGCACACACATCACAACACACCACAACACACACCACAGCACACACCTCAGTACACACCACACCATACACCACATACCACAACACAACACACAACACAACCCACACCGCAACTCACATCATATTACACAGCATATCACACAACAACACAACACAATACACAACACAACACACAACACAACACACAACACAACACACACCACAACACACAGCACAACACGCACCACAACACACACCACAACACACAGCACAAAACACGATTTACCCTTCTCTGACGGGGACAAAGGGGGAACAGGAAATTCGCTAAGCCACCTCCGCCCTAAAGGGATCGTAGGTTGATTTTTGTCGGTTGTTGTCGATGTTTTCGATTGGTCTTTGCGGTTCCCAGGAGGGGAATGGGGGCGAGAGGTGGACGGAGGACGAGGGGGAGGGGAAGGACGAGGGAGGTTTCAGGAGGGCCAGGCCCTCCTGAAAGCTCCCTCCTCCCTCCTCCCTGCTCCCGAGGCCCGAGGGAAACCCTGAGACCCTCAGGGCCTACTCCCTCCCTCGTCCTCGATCTCCCGTCTGGCTCCTGCTCCTTCGTCCTACTCCCTCCTCCCTCCTACGGTCAGTAGCGTTTGCTTGGCGTGTCGCGCCGCCAGTTCTGACCCTCCGCCCTTCCGCGCGACAGGCTCAGCTCGTCCCAGCCCCTACGCATCAATGTTCCGAGAGCGACGCGCTGTCAGCTTGCCAAGCGCGCGCAGGGGTCGCCGCCGCGACACGCAAAGCAAAGCTCATCACCGTACTCTTCCATATCCAGACCCGTCGCCGTGCTTTTGTCGCAACGTGGCTCCCCAGAGGTCTGGATCTTTTCCCCCGGACCTTTTTTCATGCTGAGCCGTTTTTCCGGCGGTCCGAGGTGCCCAGGAAGCACCCCCCCACAAAGAGCCTCCCGTCGTGACTTTTTTCACGACGCGGGAATGTCAGGGCCCTCCCTCCCAGCTCCTCCCTGTTCGTCGTCGGCCTCTCCGTCGACGGCCTCACGAGGTTTCTCCATCGAGGATCGAGACGTGCCATATCGAAGACCGCGGTGCATCGTTCGAGGCTCGAGGTGTTCTCTGTCGAGGATCGGGACGTCTTCAGATCGAGGGCCGAAGTTTTTTTTGGCATGGAGGATCGGCGCGGAGGAGGAGGAGGAGGAGGAGTCTCAAATCTGGGGTCGAGGTGCTTCACGTCGAGGTACTTGAGATCGAGGGCCGAGGCTGGCCGGTCGAGGCTCCCGGTAATCCCGGTCGAGGATCGGGGCCCATCGAGAGGCCGCCGCGCGCCTTGCGGCTCTCCCCCGCCTGTGCCGGGGCGCGCTCTGCGGGCCGCTCGTGGTGCGTGCCGGGCGCCAACGGCGACTGGGGCGGCCCGCCGGGCTGCGGCGTGGGCGCCCCGGTCGACGAGGGGCTCGTGAGGCCGCTGACGCCCCGCCGCCGCCGCCGCCGACGACGACGACGACGACGACGACGACGACGACGACGACGATATCGACGACGACGACGACGACATCGACGACGACGTGTCCTCCTCCTCCTCCTCCTCCTCCTGCCTCCTTCCAGACGACAGCGACCAGCCAGCAGTTTGGAGTCGGCTAGGGGTCTAACGTGGCCCAGCCTTGGTTCTGGCCAAGGGGGGGGGGGGCAGGCTTGAGGTGGAGGACCCGCCCCTCGCACCCCTCCAGAGGACCCCCCTCGCACCACTACAGAGGACCCCCCCCCAAGCCCCTCCATAGGACCCCTCTCGCCCCCCCTCAAGAGGAGAGGACCCCCCCTCAAGAGGAGAGGACCCCCCTCGCCCCCCCTCACGAGGAGAGGACTCCCCCCCCCCACAAGCCCGCGCCCGAGGCCAGCTGCGAGGGCGGCGGCGGGGGAGCTGCTGCCCCCGCAGCGGCTGCAGCAGGCGCGCCGCCTCGCCGCGCGGGGGCGGGCCTCCGCGGGGGGCGGCCTCGCCGCCCGGGGAGGCTCCTGCTCGAGGGGCCTCGAGCAGGAGGAGCAGGAGGAGGAGGAGGAGGAGGAGGAGGAGGAGGAGGAGGAGGAGGAGGTGGAGGTGGAGGTGTGGAGGTGGAGGTGGTGGAGGTGGAGTGGAGGTGGAGGTGGAGGAGGAGGAGGAGGAGGAGGAGGAGGCGACGGTCGGGGCGAACAGGCAACGGCAGGGGAACGAGCCATGACACAAACGTAGCAGAGCTCGGAGGTCCGCGCGGAGTTCTCGGATATCGGCGCTGTGGACCCCCCCGGGCGCGCTCCCCTGCCACGGCGCGGGCATCACGCGTATTCGCCCGGGAGCCTCGCGGAAGGCATGGGCCATCGTCGCCGGCGCCCTCGGACACGTGTGCTGCTCCCCCTTGGGCTACAGTCAAGACGTTGACATATGGAACAGTTTGGGTTCGGAAGGGGCTCGATGTTCCTTAGGTTCCTCCAGTGCTGTTCTTCTTGCCCTCCTGGGGCACGGAGGCGCTTACAGGGCCAAGAAGGGGCTTCGTTCCTTATTTAGCATTCCTTCTTTCAGCACCCCGACTGTATTCGCCCACTTCGTTGCTCTGGGGAGAGACGGGGTCCCTGCAAACGGGGGCCAGCCATGGCGCTGGATCTTGCAGGGCCCCGCAGGTCGGCGGCGAGCCCGGGGGGGAGGCGAGAAGGGGGTTGAACAAGGGCGCCGCGTGCATGCGTCTTCGTGTGATATCCAGAAATCTTGGTTTGATTGAGGGGAACTGCTCTGGTGTCGTCGCGCAGCAGAGCCGGCGCCGTGTGTGCCGCAGGATGGTTGGGAAACTGGATACAATTGGGATTTCGCATTTTCTGTCCGCGCGTGGAACTCGGGCGGGATATTTTCAAGGTGCTGTTTCTTGGGATCTATTCGCAGCGGCGCCGTTGCCCTGGCGGAGAAATTCCGTGCAACGGTTAGAGGCCTCGATAGCGCCCGAGGAGCCGCGCGCAGGCCGGCCCCCGAATCGCGCCGTGGGTCGCAGTTTCCCATAGACGAAAGGCCTTGCGCGCGCGCTGCGACGGGTCCGCCGGCCCCCCCCGCTGCCCGCGGGAGAACGGGGAGGCCAGCCGGACGACGAGAACCGGAGGCGCCGCTAGAAAGTCGACGCCGTGCCCGCGCCGAGCCACAACAACATCTCTTTGCCCGCGTGGCCCTCCCGCCCCCGCGCTCGCCTCGGAGTGGGGGGCAAAAAAGGTGGGGGATGAGCGGGGGGGCCAGGGGAAATGCGGAGTGGAGAAGGGCCCGCGCACCGGGGGGGCCGGGCGCCGACGGGGCCAACTAGTAGTAGTAGTAGTAGTAGTAGTAGTAGTAGTAGTAGTAGTCGTAGTAGTAGTAGTAGTAGTAGTAGTAGTGGTAGTAGTAGTAGTAGTAG